TGATTCCGACTCGGTCCGACGCCGGTGTCGGTCGATTCCGATTCCGTCGCCGAAGGCGCTCCACTGCTCGCAGGGTGCCTGCTCGCAAGCGTCCGAGCGCACATTGTCTGCCTCGATGTGATGGTTCGTGGATCCCACACGGCGGAGGAAGGCCATTTGCGAGAAGTTACTTTGCGAGCCGCGGAACGCGCTTGTCTATTCCGATTCGATCCGACCTCGAATTTCGATTCGGATTTCGTTTTCTCGATGCAGCCTTACTAGCAGACCGATATTCGCCGATTCCATGTCTCCCTGCTTGGCTGCCGATTCCCGCCTGTCCAAATAATTTCGATCGCCGATTCGATTTACCGATTCGACTCTGGGCTTTGCTGACTCTGACTTGGCATCGCTCGGACGTGTGCATTTCCCGCGGCGAGGACAATGCCAAGAGGTCCTCCAAGGCTCCCAGACGCCTCCCTCGTTCAGTGGGAAACGCACAACGCCCTGGGAACCAGCATGACACTTCCCTCTTCTCTCCTCCTGTGCTCTTCATTTCTCTCCCCTTTTGCTGCCTCGCTCTTCCCGCTCTTCCCATCTCTCCACCTTCCCTCCTCGTTTCATGTATGCCCACATTTGCTCTAAGGTCGGGGACCCTGGATCTCTCTTGCTTCCTTGGCGAGGACCATCGAGGAGCATCTTGGGTCATCTTGTGGAAGGATACCCGCAAGAAGTCGAACTGTGCATGGTGCATGGGGATTGAGTAGGGGAACAAAAAGTGTCATAAACATAAAATCTCGGAGCTCCGCGCGGATTTCTCGGATCAGCGCTGGGGCCCCCGGTGGCGCCTCCGGCGCCGCCCCTGGCGCGCTCCGCGCGCCAGGGAGGGGGGTCCAGGGCCGATCCGAGAAATCCGCGCGGACCTCCGAGTTTTTATGCTTATGTCACTTGTTGTTCCCCTATTGAGTGTCCGAGCGGTGGCGAGCTGAGACCTGGGCGTGGCATGTTTTCATGCACCGGAGTGGCACAATTCGCTGCAACGATACCTCCGTTTAGGTAGCCCTCCGCCAGCGCAGTTACCCTGCTGAGCCGCCGGCGCAGAAAAGCGCTCATGCACCGGACGTTGTCGCCCAGTTCTCCCAAGGGCTTCGGACCCGCCGTGCTTTGGCTGGCTGTCCGACTTCAAGCAGCAGCTGTATCGGAACACACACCCTGAATTTTGCTGCAGCGTAGGGCAGGGCGGACATCGGCATCACATGAGCTTGCAAAGTAGGGCGGAAATTTGCGCCCTACCTGCGAAATCGCCCACAGCAAAGCGGATTCGGAGTCAGGGGCGGACCTTGGGGCCATCACAGATCGATCTGGCTCTTGAGCTGCCGCAGAAGGCTGGGGGCTAGGGCTCCGGCCGTGATCTGATGCGATGTCGCAGTCTTTTCGCAGCGTGGGATCTCAGGTGGTCTAGGGCTGGATTTTTCGCGATGTTGCAGTGTTCTCGCAGCGTCGGATTTCAGGGGCAGTTCCAGAAGGAGGGGGAGGAAGAGGAGGCGGAGGAGGAGGAGGAGGAGGAGGAGGAGGAGGAGGAGGAGGAGGAGGAGACGGAGGAGGAGGGTTGGCGGATGGGTTTCGGTGGTGGAGGAGGGTGGAGGAGGGGTGGAGAGGCACGGCGAAGAGGGAGGAGGGGAGGGAAGAGGAGTTTTTGGAGGAGGAGGAGAGGTAGGAGGAGGAGGAGGAGAGGAGGAGCAGGAGGAGCAGGAGGAGGAGGAGGAGGAGGATGAGACGGAGGCGGAGGGTGGAGGAGGGTGGAGAGGCCACGGCGAATAGGAGGAGGGAGGAGGAGGAGGAGGAGAGAGGAGGAGGAGAGGAGGACAAGGAGTAGGAGGAGGAGGAGAGGAGGAGGAGGAGGGGAGGGAGAGGAGAGGAGGCTGAGGAGGAAGCGGGGGAGGAGGTGGGAGGCGGGGAGGAGGAGGAGGAGGAGGAGTGAGGAGGAGGAGGAGGAAGGAGGAGGAGGAGGAGGAGGAGGCGGGGGGCGGGGAGGAGGTGGAGGCGGGGAGGAGGAGGAGGCGGAGGAGGAGGAGGGAGGAGGAGGAGGAGGAGGAAGGGCGAGGAGTGCTTTTGAGGAGGTTGCAGGAGGAGCGGAGCGGCGAGGACTGGCGGCGGCGTCGTCGTCGCGTCGGCGTCGACGTCAACGTCGTCGTCGTCGCTCTGGTTTTTTCGTTTCTTCGGGCGGGGTGTCGCGGGCGTGCTTAGGGGTTCTCGTCGCCACGGGGGGGCGCGGGCCAGGAAGCTGGCCAGGCTCTCGGCTCTTGGGGGGCGGGCGGGCGTCGTCGCGCTGGCCTCTTTTCGATGTCGTCGTCGTCGTCGTCGTCGTCGTCGTCGTCGTCGTCGTCGTCGTCGTCGTCGTCGTCGTCGTCGTCGTCGTCGCTGTCGTCGTCGTCGTCGTCGTCGTCGTCGTCGTCGTCGTCGTCGTCGTCGTCGTCGTCGTCGTCGCGTTTTCTACCCGAGGGTTCTCGTCGCAGCGCGGTGCGCGGGCCGGGAAGCGTCTTTTCGATGTCGCCGTCGTCGTCGTCGCCGTCGCCGTCGTCGTTGTCGTCGCCGCCACCGCCGTCGTCGCCGTCGCCGTCGTCGTCGTCGTCGTCGCCACCGCCGTCGTCGTCGTCGTCGTCGTCGTCGTCGTCGTCGTTGCTCCGGGGGGGGGGGGACGACGTGTGCCCCCGCGGGTTCTCGTCGCAGCGCGGTGCGCGGGCCGGGAAGCTGGCCAGGATGGACCACCGGGTCGGGCGTTGCGCCAGGCAGGGAGGGAGCGAGAGGGGGGGGGGCAGGCCTTCCCAGGAGGCCTGTCCCCCCTCCCGCTCCCCCCCTTTCTGTGCTCGCCGCCGGTTTCTGGGACCTTCCTCTCCCACAGAGAGCGCGAAGACGACGACGTCGTCGACGTCGTCGGCGGCGGCGACGACGACGAGGCCGGCCGAGCCGCGCTCCCTGCTCCATGCCTCCCCCGGCGGGGGCTGCCCAAGGCGGCCCCGCCGCAGGGCGGCTCCCGCCTTCCGCACCGCCTTGGAGCCCTTGAGGGGTGTGGGCCGGGGGGGGCCGCATTTCTGCAACTCCCGACCCGGGGAGGGGGGGGGGGGGGGGCGCATTGCGCTGATCCTGCCTTCGTCTCACCCTCGAGGATCCTCAGGGCGCGTGTGAGCCCAATGTGTGTTTATCCCGTTCAGCTTCGCCGATAGCGCGCGGCCTGTGCCGGCAAATTCACTGCACCGCCTGCGTCATACTGAGGGGCTCTGATGGACAAGCACACGTTAGCGCTGACATGCGTTCCGAGGATGACCGATACCAGACCCCCGACGTCATGATTTTTCATAGTGTCGACCCCCAAAGGTCTCGACCCATTCCCCAGGACCGGTTCTTCATCCTGAGTCGGTTTTGACGGTCCCGAGGCGCTGTAAGGTTCCCCAGGGGCCGAAAACAGCGAAAGACCTTCTGTCTTGCTTTCCTCATGGCTCGAGGGGGTTGGGGATACCCGTGCGAGGGGCCGGCGGTCTGTTCGTCGGCGGCGCGCCCTGGGGGGGAAGTGGGAAGGAGCAGGCCTTCTCAGAAGGCGGCGGGGCTTCTCAGAAGCCCTCTGGCTTTCTGGCTCCCGAGAATCACCAGCCTCGAACCTATCCCTACCCCTAAGAGTGACACGCCACCAGGCGATGACACTCTTAGGGATGCGCCCACAAAACCAAAGGGAATCCCCGAGATCGGCATCGTAATGAGGCGATGCCCAGCATCCGGGTAGGGATAATGTGCTAGGCCGGTAAGAGAAAAGGCTCAAGCAATTCTGTCAGAAGGCCCGAGGCCTCCCGAGCCTTTCTGAGTCGGCCCGCCCCGTCGCGCTTCCCCCCCCCTCGCGCGGTGGCCGAAGTACGGTGGGGGGGAAGCAATCAGTGGGCATTCCCCCGCTCCCCAAATCGGGCCGGGCGAAAGGGGGGGATTGGGAAAGGGGGGGTTACGGAATTTGCTGCATGCAGCTGGTTTCGGCCTCACCGAGGGGCCCATTCTTTGATACATAGCCGCCTCCAGCGCCGGGAGGCGCCAGGAAAATCAGCTACCTGAGCTGATTCTCAAACCCCCCCCTTTGCTATCCCCCCCTTTCGCCCGACCCGACCAAAGCTCAAAGTTGGCACGCGCGGGGGAGGCTGCGGTCGAAGCGGAACTCATCAGGCCCAACGCCAACTTTGAGCATTGGGGGGAGGGGGGAGGCCTTGACCGACGAATGTGGCATGCGTGCTCGCTATACTTGTCCGAGGCCTGCATGGCTGTGGAAGTCGATCAATGGAGAGGAAGCGCGTTGCCAAAGCAGCTCCCAGACGTCTAGAACATGCCTCAGACATGCCTCACACAGGTAAGAAAGCACATGTTCCAAGCATGTTTAGAACAGCGTTCAAACATCTCGAACACATCTCCAGCTCAGTGATCGGACCGTGATCAGGAGAGGAAAAATACACAGACACAATCAATCTTCGATTTCCCAGAAAATATGGGAAAATATGGGAAGCGGGGGGGAAGACAGACACCCAGAAAAAAATGGGAAAATATAGGGGGTATCTTTATTTGTGTGCATCTATTTGTGTGTCCTGGGGCCCCTTCACGTGAGAGTGTCCACTGCCGTGGCCTCCACAGCCCTACGGCGACGCCGGGCCCGCTCGCCCGGAGAGCTGCGCGGCGGGGGCGGAGCGGGGGGGGGGGGGGCAGAGGAGCGGGGCTGCGCGAGGCGGGCGGGCAGGCCGCCGGGGTGGTCCGCGTGGGTGGTCCGGTGGGTTGGGCGGACGGCGTCCGTCGCCGTCGTCGTCGCCGCCGCCGCCGTCGCCGTCGTCGTCGTCGTCGCCGTCGTCGTCGTCGCCGTCGTCGCCGTCGCCGCCGTCGTCGTCGTCGTCGTCGTCGCCGCCGCCGTCGTCGTCGTCGTCGTCGTCGTCGCCGCCGCAGTCGTCGTCGTCGTCGTCGTCGTCGCCGTCGTCGTCGCGCTCGGCGGATGCGGGCCCGGGAGGACCCGGGGCTGCTCGCCGCCGCGGCCAGGGAGGCCCTGCTGGCGAGCCGGGGGCGCGCGGCCGAGCGCGGCGGGTTCCTGCGGGCCGAGGGGCAGCTCGAGCCGTGAGGTCGGCCCGGCCGCCAGCCCGGGGCCGCCTTCGCCCCCAGAGGTCCGACGCTCCTCCTCCTCCTGCTCCTGCTCCCCCTCCTCCTCCTCCTCCTCCTCCTCCTCCTCCTCCTCCTCCTCCTCCTCCTCTCCTGCTCCTCCTCCTCCTCCTCCTGCTCCTGCTCCTGCTCCTGCTCCTCCTGCTCCTCCTCCTCCTGCTCTTCCTCCTCCTCCTCCCCCTGCTCCTGTTCCTCCTCGTCCTCCTCCTCCTGCTCCTTTTCCTCCTCCAGCTGCCATGAAGGCTTAAGAAAAGCAGCAGGCAGCTCCAGTACCCACACTCCCCCACATGTCCTGATACAGGAGAGATGTGGCGCTTCTCGGGTCGAAAGCGGCCTTGGGGCACGAAGGAAAACAAGGAGTGGGGGAGGCGCGCAGGTGGCGACACCATGGTGCTGAAGATCTTCTACTACAACGCCCAGAGCGCAGACCACACGAGGCTGGAAGAGATAACATGCAGTGCCAGAACATAGACATAGTGATTGTCACCAGCACGCAGAGGCATACATATGTAGAACACGACATGCAGCAAGCAGAACTACCGCATCATCGAGCATTGCAGTTTGGATGAAAAGAGCCGAAGTATGTGAGCAAGTGTTGTGGCACAGCAGTCTTGCTAGGCCGGTACGTACACGGAGTGCAGCAAGCAGTCGCCCCACCGCGGTCACAAGATATCACGGGAACGGTCGCCAAAGTGAAGCTGTTTGTGCACGGGCAGTCTATCTGTTTGTTTCCTGTGTACTTTCCTCTCAAGGGCACAAGTCCCCCCGTCTTGAAGGAGGCCTGCGCGCGCATTTTGCGTTGGATCAGCAAGCAGACAGAAAAAGAAGGTCACAGCACGATGCCGATTGTTGCGGGGGATTTCAACTGCGGGCTTGGAACCAAGCGAGATGTATCAGGGGTCTGCTTGACAAGAGAGGACGAGCACATAGGCATAGTCGAACCGACCAACGAGACGAACGCGTCGAGCCAGGTGAGAACGTTTGCAGAGGAACAGCATTTGAGTTTAGCATCAACTTTTCGAAGAACAGGGCCTACGTATTTTCAGAGAGGCCGTACGTCGAATATAGATCACTTCATGTGCCCGACGACCGTACTGGGAAGCATTCCGAAGCTGAGCGCGCTGATCCGGCTCGGGCGCAAGCTTCAGTTGCAGCAGAACGCCTGGCTGGAAGACCATGTCCCTGTGTACGTGGAGATAAACGTAGCCACTAAGATCTATAGAGTGTCCAACCCGTCGCCGCCAGCAAACAGGGACACGCTGATGGGAGCACAGACGACGGGCGCGGGCAGAGAGCAGTTCTTCGAAGCAGTTCAAATAATTGAGAGAGGACGATGACAAGTACCAGACGGCGATGATGAGTAGCAGTGTACAGGCAGTGTGGGACCACATCGGTGGATCTGTGCGTGCAGGTATGCTCGAGGTCTTTCCACCTGGTCCAAAACGCACGGAGGAGTTTGAGCAGCAGAGAAAGAAGCGAATGGAGTTGATCCGACGTACAGCAAAATTGCGAGAAGAAGGGACAGGTACAGCAGGAGAGCAGTATGCGGCGATCAATCAGCAGCTGACAGACAGTTGCAAGCAGTGAGACGACAGCAAACGGCAGACACCATAACCAAGTCGATGAATGAGTCCGTGGATGTATGGAAACAGAAATGGGCGCAGTTGCGCAACATCGAGAATAGCCTTACATTCACTGGCAGAGGCCCCCAAACGCTGTACAGTTTCGCAGTACGGCAGGGCACGATGACGACGGAATGGACACGTGGGCTCCACTTTCCGCTGCACGAGGGCGGCATGAGTGCGGACATCATCGACTGGGACAGAGCCCTCGAGGACGTGGAGTATGTGCCAAAAGTTCTGGGGAGAGACAGAGCGATTCAACTTGCACGAGCAGATTTGGAAGGGCAGATTCGTTATCTGGAACAGGCACCGGAGAGACGGGCAACGCCGATGTGGAATGTTGATGCCGAGGCGTTTCTGCAGTTGTTGTCACCCCAGTACCACGCCAGAGTAGATGAACGGGAAAACGGTTGGGAGCGAGATATTGCGCCGCTGGACTTTTTGCGCAAGTACCAGCAGATCGTGACATTGGTGAGAGAAACCAGCAAGGTCCCGCCCAGCTTCCAGCGCTCGCAGATGTTCACCCAGGCGAAAGACAACGGCGGGCCAGGCATCAAGGGAAAATGGCTTCTTCACGGTTTCGATTCTTGTAACATGAGCTGGTTCGGGCAGTTGGCCAAGAGAGTGGAGCCGCAGCCAATGTTTACCCAGTTCGCCCGCGGAGGCGCCCCCCGCGCGAAGGCACGCTACTAGTACTCAGCTCAGCCGCGTGGAGGTGTCGAGATCTGAAGCTGAGCCACACATCGAGCAACATCGATGGGGCGAGCGCGTTCGCAAGCACGGAGAGGGAGAGCAGCTACAGATGTTGCACGGCAGGCAGCGGTACGAGCGCAACGTAGATCTATCCACGCAGGCTGTCGATCGGCTCGCCGAGAACGCGGGGGCATCGACGGGGGGGGGGGGGCTTAAACCAACGCGGGGAACTACGATGGGCCGCGCCATGGCAGCGGGAGGTGATATAGCAGTGTCTACGCCGTAAGTAGAGAAGCAGGGTCTACGCCGTAAGTAGAGAAGTGGAACGAAAAGCTAACACGTCATCACCAGACATACACATGGCTGGCATGAAAGAGCGTGCTGAAGGATGACAGCCAGGAGGAGATGGCCGAGCAAGAGGAACAGGAGGGGGACTTAGGGGTCGGCTTGTACGTAGACGACATTTCTACTGCGCACATGCACGCACACGAAGCGCCACCCAAAGCAATGGGGCTGCAGCTAGACAAAGCCACCAGTCAGCCGAGCACAGGCACAGGGGGGGCAGGGCACATATTAAACGAGAACAAAACGAACCGCACCACGCACGTGATCGGGCATGGACCATTCGCAGCAGCAAAAAACTTAGCAGTAACCAAGGCAGTCATCGGCGCAATTGTACGCGAAGCACGCGCGCTAGGTCCAACGCTTTCGTTTGACGGCAGCCTGCGCGCTGAACTGCGAAGGCGGATTGAGGCGGCCAGAGCAGGGTGGAGATCGCTAGGCAAGCTGTGGTCAGAGCCGATCTCCCCCTGCGCGTGGGGCGGCTTCTTTTCGTCGCTTGCGTGCGAGGGGCAGGACTTGCAGGTCTCGCTGGGTTTGCGCTACCACAAGGCTTCGCAGACAAGCTCGACGCGGTGTTTATCAGATTCTTGGGGGTGCTTAGCCGCGGCACCACGGAAACATTCGGCGGGGCAAAGAGAAGCGAAATGCATGCGTAGGTCTTGGGGCATCGCGCGATTTCGAGAGCGGCGGTCGAGTCGAGGACCCATGGGATTAGATGGTGCCAGAAAGTGGCCAGGGACCCCCAGCAGCACTCGCAGGTCTCAGCAGGCATCTTCGGGGGCACCCGCGTGGGCCTCACAGTGGACAGGCCGCGTCTGGGACCCGAGGGGCAACTAAATCCATGCAGCGCCCCATGGGCTCGGCAGTTTCATAGTGGCTCGGAGATTTTTGCGAGGGTAGACCCAGCGTTGCAGTTTGCACAAGCTTGGAATTCAAGAGAAGGGTTGATCGATTCTTTCACAGGGGAGGCTTTTTGGAAGGCGTTCTATAAGAACGGCCTCAACACATCAGGCACCATTCGACAGGCGCTACGAAGCGGAGGAGAAGGGGGATACCAACGGTTAAGCGCGCTTGCACGCACGAGACTCCAGACGGAAAAGCATGTGGGAGCGCGTTCAGTATGATGAGGGTGCTGACGGCACATCTGAACCAGACGCGCAAAATGCGAGAGCTGCATTCAATGGTGTGGACTACAAGTGCGCGCCCATGGCGCCGTCGAGTGTCTGCGTCGCGGGCGAGTTCCGCGAGGCATGTTTGGACAATGTCACGATCGAGTCCGATGCGATGCCCGACCAGAGCCATTTCATGTCATTTCATTTGGTCCTTCGAGTCCGCTCCTGGGCTCGTTTCGGGCGGCCGCTCTGCGGCCATGTCCTGGTTGCGCAGTATGCCTGGTTGTGGATCCGTGTAAGATGCCTCCGATTTGACTCGTTTAAATCTTCGGTGCGTGCCGAATTCCGCAGAGCACGCGAGCACTTTCACGCGAAATTCCCGTGGCCCATCAGCGCGGCGCAGTGCAACAAGATGAATGGTTCTTGAGATGTGCATGGTGGGTCGGGCTGCACTCGGTTCCGTTTGGTGCGCGTTCGGGTCGCTCTTCTTCGGCGGCGAGCCCAGGAGGTTGCCCAAGGCGCCCCCGCCACTTTGGAGCCCCTGGGGCCTTCTGGGCCTCGTGAGGAGTGCTCGAGAGGCCGTAGGGGCCTCCCTGACATTCCTCGGGGCACCTTGAGCCAAGGGGCACCTTCCGGGGCCCATCTCGATCCCATCGATCCGATTCGACAACAGTTTTGGCCGGCCCGATGCCATGCGATTCCGCTGCTCCAGCGCCCCGGTGCGGCCCGATGCTTGCGCGGCGCTGTTGTGAGTCTCGCTGCGGCCGGTCCGATCCGATACTCCTGCGGCGGTGCGGCCAGGCCCGACGCGCGCTCCGATCCTCTCCGGCTCCGCGATGCGATGCTGGTGGCGCTTGCCTGTGGCGGCACCCGGCACGCTCCCCTCGCCCACCTCTCGGGCGGTCGCTGCGGGGGACGATGTCCCCCCCCCCCCCCCCCTATACAAGCTCTCGGCTGGGAATAAGACTCGTCCCCCCCCCTCTCCTCGTCCCTCCCCTCCTCGCCCTCCTCCTCGTGCTTCCCTCCTCGCCCTCCTCCTCGTGCTCCCCTCCTCGCCCTCCCCCTCGCCCTCCCCCCGGCAACGACGACGACAGCGGCGTCGACGATGCAGACGGCGGAGGCCTCAGCAGTGGCCGCCGCGGGGGGGTGAGTTCACCGTATGGTGTTCGGTCGCCATCCGCCAACGAGCCCGCGCGAAACATTTCTAGCTCCCATCGTAAACAAAGGGGGGCAGAAGAGGCTTTCTGCGATTCCGTGCGGCGGGGGTCGAAGGCTGCAGGCAGGCGGAAGCGAGGAGCGGGCGCGAGAGTCCGATCGAGGGCGTCTCGTCCCGCTCGCAGGAGTCGGCGTGATGCGCCGCAGGTTCACAAGGGCAGCAGGGAAGGGCCCCTTCCCCCCAGAGGTCAGGGGAGGGAAAGGCACGCATACCGCCACCCTTCGCTCGTGTTCCCCCCTTGTTCGGCCTCCTGGGAGTCCCTCGTCGCCACCGCTGGCTTCGCCTCGACGTCCTGGTCCGAACGCACCCCGGGAGAGGTCCGGGGAGTGGCGGCATCGGTACTTTCGTTGGTTTCTCCAAAAGGACCGCCCCCCCCCAGAGGGGCCCCGAAGGTGCACGACGGGTGCACCTTCCTTCCCCCCAACAACAAATGCGCCCCAAGGGCGAGGAGGAGGAGAAGGAGGAGGAGGTGGTGGTGGAGGAGGTGGAGGAGGAGGAGGAGGAGGAGGAGGAGGTGGAGTAGAAGGAGTACGAGGAGGAGAGAGGAGGAGGAGGAGGAGGAGGAGGAGGAGGAGGTGGAGGAGGAGGAGGAGGAGGAAGAGGTGGAGGAGGAGGGAGATGGTGGAGGAGGAGGAGGAGGTGGTGGAGGAGGAGGAGGAGGAGGAGGAGGAGGAGAGGGCGAGGCGGGGGCTTTCCGCCCCACGGCAGGTGGGCGGACGCATGTCCGCAAAAGGTAGCGGCCGAAGGCAGCGGCGGCAGAGCCAGGGCGCACGTCGGCGCCACGGGAGCTTGCGGAGCACGGGCGGGCAGATCCGCCGCCCGGCCTGCTTACTGAGGGCATCGCTCGGACGTGCGCACGGGTGTCCAGGGTATACCCTCGCGTCCTTGCCTATATATATATATATATTATATATATATATATATATATATATATATGCGGCCCCCGCCCTTCCCGGCGTTCGCTGGCCAGCCCTTCGGGGTGCTGGCAGCCCGCCGCCCAGACGGTGCCAACCTTCGGCGTCCCGGGCCCTTTGCGTGCTTGCACCGCCCGTCCTCACTAGACTTGGCATCGCTCGGACGTGTGCCTTTTTCCTTCGGCGAGGACCATCGAGGAGCATCCTTGATCATTTGGCGAAAAGGCCACGCACGAAACCGAAAAAAAGCACAGGGAACGGACGTCCGAGCGATGGCGACTTCCTGAGGGCGGCACAACCCACCCCCGCCCCCCGCCAGGACCCCCCACTCCTGACCCGGTGATCCCGGGGGGGTTCTGGCTGGCGGTGTTTTTTTTTTGGGGGGGGGGGGGGGGCTCTCGGGGGCCACTGGGCCACCAGGTCGGGGGGGGGGAGTGGGGGGTCCTGCTGGGGGGTGGGGGTGGGTTGTGCCGTCCTTCCTCGCCGACGACGACATCGCCCCAAGCACGGCGGATCCGAAGTCAAACTGCCCTTTCCCCCCGATGGATCGCCCCCCTCGAGCAACGGCACAAACATGCAAGAAATGGCATGAGCATAAACCACTGCATAAACACACTCCCTCCCGACGGTCCGCGCGGCGCTGGGCCCCCCTGGCGGCGCCTCCTGCGCCGCCCCCTGGCGCGCGCTCCGCGCGCCAGCTGTGGGGCTCTCCGCGCGGGTCCGAGAAGTCCGCGCGGGCCGTCGGACGTGTATGAGTATGCCGGTTTGCGTTCCCCTACCCCCCCCCCCACCCACTCCACCCACCCAGCGACGCCCGAACCTGTCCAGAGGCAGGTGCACGAGGGGTGCGCCGCTCTCCCCCCGCCCCCGATCCAGCGACGCCCGAAGCCACCCGTCCAGGAGCCACCCCTCCACCCAGCGGCGCCCGCGTCCCGCTCCCAGACACGCGACGCCCTGATGGTGTCAGGACGGCGCCCCCCAGAAGTCCAGAGCCTTGCTCTGGGACCAGCTTCTCGTCCCGAGCACTTTTGTTGACGGCCCCGAGGCCCGGCGAGGGCCCCCCAGGGGCCGAGCATGGCGAGAAACCTCCCGCCCCGATTTTTTGTTACGACGCGACCACGTCTGGGCCCACCGCGCCTCCCGCCCCAGCCGGCGACGCCGGAGCCTCTCCCTCTCCTCGCGCCCCGCGCGGGCCGCGCCACGAGCGCGCGGCCGGCGCCTCTTCACGGAGGGATGGGGCGGGGAGGCGGCAACAGCCCGCCTCCCCCCCCCTGCCCTTGGCAGCGCGAATTCGTCCCCCGCGGGGCCCCCCAAGGCGGGGCTCCGAGCGGACCCTCGAGCCCCCCGCGTCTCGGGAAGCTCTCGGGGCGGAGAGGCGGTGCTGAGCTCTCGGCCCCCGGGGGGGCCCTCGCGGGGCCCTCTCCTGGGAGAGCGCCCCGGGTGCGGCGGATCTGAAGCCAGGGTCCTTTCCCCCCAGCTCCGCACTCGGCAGCGAGTTCGCCCCAGGGCCTCCCGAGACGGGGCCCCGAGCAGGTGGCGTCGGAGGAGGGTGCCTCGAGGAGCCAGGTGCAACACGTGAACATACGGTCGGGCACTTTTGGATCGCGCGTCGCTCCGCCGCTGCTTCTGGCCCGCCGCGCTGTCCGCTTCCATTGTCTCCGAGCGGCAGCGTTCGCGCCGTGGAACCCTTCTGGACATCAGTGAGTGATTTGTCCTTGGAATTGCTCTTCGTGCCCTTCGGGGGCGTCTTGGACGCGTCTTGGGCCCTCGGGAGGCCACCTTGGGCATCTTAAGGGAGCGATCTCTCGGCGGCTCGCGGCCCTCTTGGACCGCTTTTGGGGGGGGGGGCCTCTGAGGAGGAGGAGGAGGAGGAGGAGGAGGAGGAGGAGGAGGAGGAGAAGGAAGGAGGAGGAGGAGGAGGAGGAGGAGGAGGAGGAGGAGGAGGAAGGAGGAGGAGAAGGGGACAAGCTAGGTGCGCTCGCGTGATATCTGACGCCCCACCCCTCCCTCCCATCCCTTACCGCGTGATATCTGACGCCCCACCCCTCCCTCCCATCCCTTACCATGGCGCGTAGGGTCCCCTTGGCCCGCCTCTTGGGGTCTCCGGGCCGCCCGCCCCGCGCAGCGGAGCGACACGCCATCCGCTTGCCAGGCACAGCTCGTCGCCAGGACCGCCGCCCGCGACACGTTGAGCAGCAGTTCAAATATATCTAGATCTCTCTCTCTATATATATATATATATATATATGCACATTGCCCCGGCAACCGGGGTTCCCACTTCGAGCCGGCGCCGAAGACGCTATTTGAAGACGCTATTCCCTGTGACGACGCGTCCCTGTGAAGACGCTATTCCTTGTGAAGACGCTATTCCCGGTGAAAACGGTGAAGACTCTGTTCCCGGTGAAGCAGCTATTCCGTGTGAAGATGCTATTGCGGGTGAAGGCGTTATTCCGGGTGAAGATTGCGGGTTAACACGCTATTCCTGGTGAAGACGCGTCCTGTGGACACAGACAGCATTTCCTTTATGAAGACGCTATTTTGGGTGAAGACGCTATTCCCTGTGAAGACGCTATTCCCGGTGAAGACGTTACTTGTGAAGACGCTATTCCTGGTGAAGATGCTATTCCCAGTGAGGATGCTAATCCAGGTGAAGACGCTATTCGGGATGACGACGCTATTCCTGGTGACGACGGAATATATTCCAGGCGGAGACCCTATTCCTGGTGAAGACGCTATTGTGGGTGAAGACGCTATTCCAGGTGAAGACGCTATTGTGGGTGAAGACGCTATTGTGGGTGAAGACGCTATTCCAGGTGAAGACGCTATTCCGGGTGAAGACGCTATTCCCGGTCAAGACGCTATTGCTCGTGAAGACGCTATTCCAGGTGAAGACGCTATTCCCGGTGAAGACGCTACTCCCGGTGAAGACGCTATTCCGAGTGAAGACGCTATTCCCGGTGAAGACGCTATTCCGGGTGAAGACGCTATTCCCGGTGAAGACGCTATTCCCAGTGAAGACGCTATCCCGGGTGAAGTCGCTATCGCTGGTGAAGTGAAGACGCTATTCCAGGTAAAGACGCTTTTCCCGGTGAAGACGCTATTCCGGGTCAAGACGCTATTCCCAGTGAAGACGCTATTGCCTGTGAAGACGCGTTCTGCGGACTTAGACAGCACTTCCCCTATGAAGACGCTATTCCCTGTGAAGATGTTCCTTCTCTTCACCAAGCCCAGTATTCAACGTGCTTCCCTCCCAATTGTAATTTAAAAGTGCCGTTTTACATTACGCTTCCCGTGCCTAACACAACGCGCGCCCCATCTGCTGTGCGACACCCTCTGCTTTGCAAGACCCTTCCCCAAGTTGATTTACAAAGAATCCGTGGTGCTAGACATGCCGCATCTGCTGTGCAACACCCTCTTCTGGGCAAGACCCCTACCAGACCTCTCCCCAAGTTGATTAAAAAAGAACCCTTGGTGCTAGACGTGCCCCATGCAAGACCCCTCCCCAAGTTGATAAACAAATCCGTGATATTAGACGTGCCCCGTTTGCTGCGCGGCGCCCTCTGCTAGGCAAGACCCCTCCCCAAGCTGATTAAAACAATCATCAGTGGTATTCGATGTGCCCCGTTGCTTTGCGGCACCTTCTGCTAGGCAAGACCCACCCCCAAGTTGATTAAACATGAATTCTTGGTGCTAGACGTGCCCCATCTGCTGTGTGGCACCTTCTGCTAGGCAATCGCCCTCCCCAAGTTGCTTTGAACATAATCCTTGGTGCTAGACGTGCCCCATCTGCTGCGCGGCACCCTCTGCTAGGCAAGACCCCTCCCCAAGTTGATTGATTATGAATCCTTGGTGCTAGGCGTGCCCCATCTGCTGTGTGGCACCCTTTGTTGGGCAATGGCCTTTCCCAAGTTGATTATAAGAGAATCCTTGGTGCTAGACGTGCCCCATTTGCTGAACGGCACCTTCTGCTAGACAAGACCCCTCCCCAAGTTGATTAAAAAAGTATCCTTGGTGCTAGAAGTGCCCCATCTGCTTTGTGGCACCCTTTGTTAGGCAATGGCCCTCCCAAAGTGGATTTCAAAAGAATCCTTGGTGCTAGGCGTGCCCCATCTGTTGTGCGGCACCTTCTGCTACGCAAGACCCCTCGCCAAGTTGATTAAAAAAGTATCCTTGGTGCTAGATGTGCCCCTTTGCTGTGCGGCACCCTCTCCAAGGTGAGCCCCTTTGCTGTGCGGCACTTTCTGCTAGGCAAGACCCTTTCCCAAGTTAATTAAAACAGAATCCCTGGTGCTAGATATGCCCTTTTGCTGTGCGGCACCTTTGCTAGGCAAGACCACTCGCCAAGTTGATAAAAAAGAACCCTTGGTGCTGGACATGCCCCTTTGCTGTGCGGCACCCTCTGATAGGCAAGAGCCCTCCCAAAATTGACTTAAAATGAATAATTGTGCTAGGCGTGCCCCATGTGCTGTGCGGCACCCTATGCTAGGCAAGACCCCTCGCCAAGTTGATCAAAAAATAATCCTTGGTGCTGGACATGCCCCTTTGCTGTGCGGTATCCTCTCCAAGGTGAGCCCCATCTGCTGCGCGGCACCTTCTGCTAGGCAAGACCCCTCCCCAAGTTAATTAAAGCAGAATCCCTGGTGCTAGACATGCCTTTTGCTGTGCTGCACCCTATGCTAGGCAAGGCCCCTCGCCAAGTTGATTAAAGCAAAAATCCTCGGTGCTAGATGTGCCCCTTTGCTGTGCGGCACCCTCTGATAGGCAAGAGCCCTCCCCAAGTTGATTAGATGATAGTCATTGGTGCTAGGCGTGCCCCACCTCCTGTGCGGCACCTTCTGCTTGACAAGACCCCTCCCCAAGTTGATTAAAAAAGAATCCTAAGAGGCCCCAAAACAGCCCCCGAGGAGGCTTCAAAACAGCGTCCAAGAGCCCGACGAGAAACCTCCCAAGAGACCCCCAAACGAACATCCAGGAGGCCTTGGACCCGCAACCCAGCCCCATCGGGCGGCGGCGGCCGGCGGCGGCGGGGGCGGCCGACGAGAAACAGGTTTCTTGTCGGGCTCCTGGATGCTGTTTTGAAGCCTCCTGGGGGGCCGTTTGGGGGCCTCTTAGGGCCTCGTTTGGTTTTCTTGGGGGGCCTCATGGGGCCTCCTGGGTGTTCCTCGAGGCCTCCCGGGACCTTCTCGAGGCGGAATGCTCCAGGAGCCCGCAGGATGGATCCGTTGGAAGCGTGTCACCGGTGCGGCGCGGTCCGGGTGGCTTCACAATCCTTTGTGTTTATCGTATGTGCCTACAGATTGGTCCTCTCCTAGGGCTTCCTGGGACCTCCTGGGGCTTCCTGGGGCCTCCTGGAGCTTCCTGCAGCTTTCTGGGGCTTCCTGGAGTCTCCTGAAGCCTCCTGGGGCCTCCCGGGGCTCCCCGGGGCTTCCTGGGACATCCTGGTGCCTTCTGGGGCTGTCTTGGCCCCTCCCGGTGCCTCCTGGAACTGTCTTGGCCCTCGCCTGGGGCGCGAATCCTTTGTGTTAAACGTATGTGCCAATATATTGGCCTTCTCTTGGGGCACGAATCCATTGTGTTTCGCGCATGTGCCTATAGATTGGCCTACTCCTGGGGCACGGATGTTTAGTATTTTACGTGCGTGCTTATATATATATACATATGTGGATATATATATATATATGTATATATGTGTGTGGATATTATATATAATATCCATATAGATATATATATATATATATATGTATATATATATATATGTCAGCCGTAGCATGGAACGCGAAACCTTAGCGTGTTACGTAATGCCTAGAGATTTGCCTTTTTGGGGGGCGCGAGTCCTTTCGTATTTTTCACATGTGCGTAAAGGTTAGCCCTCTCCTGGGGCACGAGTCCTTTGTGTTTCACGTGTATGCCTATAGACTGGCCCTTTCCAGGGGCACGAATCTTTCGTGTTTTACGCATTTGCTTTTAGATTTGCCCTCCCCTGGGGCACGAGCCCTGCGTGTTTTACGTATGCGCCTATGGATCTGCCCTCTCCTGGGGCACGAACCCTTCGTGCTTTACGTATGTGCCTTAGATTCGCCCTCTCCTGGAGCACGAATCCTTCGTGTCTTACGTGTGTGCATATAGATTGGCCTTCCCCTGGGGCACGAATCTTTTTGTGTTTAACGTATGTGCCAATAGATCGGCCTTCTCTTGGAACATGAATCCTCTTAGTCTTTTACGTACGTGCCTATATATTGACCTTCTCCTAGGGCGCGAATCTTTTGTGCTTCACGTGCGTGCTGATAGAGTGGCCGTATCATGAGAGACGAATCCTTAGCGTGATTGGCCCTCTCCTGGGGCACGATCCCTTTCCAGGGGCACGAATCTTTCGCGTTTTACGTATTTGCTTATAGATTTGCCCTCCCGTGGGTCACGAACCTTGCGAGGCGTCACGAGCTTCACCGGGAGTTAGGGGAATATGTAGAGGCTTCAGGCCGAATAGAGGCTTCACGAGCTTCACCGGACGTCAGGGGATCAGAGGCTTCAGGCCGAATAGCGGCTTCACGAGCTTCACAGGGCGTCAAGGGAATAGAGGGATCAGGCCGAAAAGAGGCTTTACGAGCTTCAACGGGCGTCAAGGGAATAGAGGCTTCAGGCCGAATAGAGGCGTCACGAGCTGCACCGGGCGCCAGGGGAATAGAGGCTGCAGGCCGAATAGAGGCTTCACGACCTTCACCGGGCGTCAGGGGAATAGAGGCTTCAGGCCGAATAGAGGCTTCACGAGCTTCAGTGGGCGTCAGGAGAATAAGGCTTCAGGCCGAATAGAGGCTTCACGAGCTTCAGTGGGCGTCAGGGGAATAGAGGCTTCAGGCCGAATAGGCGCGTCTAGGGTCGCCACCCCACCAGTGCGTCGCCATTCGTAGGCCGGAAAGAGGCGTCACGCGCCGAATACAAGCTTCAGGCCGAATAGAGGCTTCAGGCCGAATAGAGGCTTCACGACGTTCAATGGGCGTCAGGGGAATAGAGGCTTCAGGCCGAATAGAGGCGTCACGAGCTTCACCAAGCGTCAGCGGGATAGAGGCGTCACCGCAGCTCCTTGGGGGAATAGCGTCTTCAAATAGCGTCTTCGGCGCCGGCTCGAACGGGGACCCCCCCCAGGCCAGGCCCTTGTAAACATCTATATATATACACCGATATAGATGTATACACCGATCTATATATATATATATATTTACACCGCTATGTACATATACACATATGTCTATTTGTGTATATATATATATGTATATGTATATACACCAGTCTATACATATATATAAGCACACGCATACATATACATATATATACACACCGGTAACTATATACACCTATATATACCGATACGTATATATACACCTGTATATATGTATGTATATATATATATATATGTATGTATCCTGGCCGCCGTAACTCTTCGGGGCCCCGCGCGGATTTCACGGGTTCGCGCTGGGCCTCGGCGCCTCGGCGGCGCCTCTGGCGTCGCCCCCTGGCGCGCGAAGCGCGCGCCAGGGGGGGGGGGCAGCTCTGACCCAAAAGAAAGGAATGGAAGTTGAGACGGAGGAGGAGGAGGAGGAGGAGAAGGAAGAGGAGGAGGAGGAGGAGGAGGGGGAGGCAGAGAAGCAGGAGGAGGAGGAGGAGAGAGGAGAAGCTGGAGGAGCAAGAGGAGGAGGAGAAGCAGGAGGAGAGAAGAGAAGGAGGAGGAGGAGGAGGGAGGAGGAGAGAGGAGGAGAGGGGAGGAGGAGGAAGGAGGCGTGCGCCAGGGCGGGGGGGGGGCCCAGCGCTGACCCATGCTGACCCAAGAGATCTGCCCAGGCCTCTGAGAGTTTGCGTGTACGGTTTGTCTTTTGCACGAGCGCGCCGCACCGCCGAGGCATCGGCGGTGCGGCGCGATCGGAGGCCCGATGGTCATCATCTCGACTCCGCCGATGCATCGGCTACGAGGCGCCATGCTCCAAGCCACACCTGCTTCAGCCCACTCGGGGAGCCCTTCATGTACGCAGTTACTCGCACAGGAAGGTGACCCTTCTGGAGGTGAATTCGCCCCCGACCGTGCCGATGGGAGGTGTGCTGGAGCCACGGCACATCCCGATTATACTCCAGAGGCGGTGAAAGGGGCACGACGGAAAAATATTACCTTCTGTCTCTTCAGCACGACCTCGGCCCCTCGCCCTCCTCGTCATCTTCGTCTTCCCAGCTCCTCCTCCTCCTCCTCCTCCTCCTCCGCCTCCTCCTTGGTCACTCCTCGGTCGGCCTGTCGGTCAGAGGATGATGGCATTTAGCGCCTGTGTCTTCAGGGTTCCTGCGGCCGGCCATCTGTGGGAAGCTCTCGCCTTGATGCTCCAGAGGGCTGCAGAGTGTGACACGCCCTTCCGCATGCCCGTCTCCTCCTCCTCGTCCTCGTACGATAGGTTCGCGCCGCGCTGACGCGACGGCGACCCCAGCAAGGGCGTTCATTGTTGAACGCTGCCAGTGGCCTGGGATCGCTCGATATCGAGCGATCTGGCGATCGGAAAGCCGCCGATCGTTCAAGGTTGAACGGTCCGCGTAGTGTCAGGAACCAGCGCGACAGTCGTTACGGCACGAACCTGCCGTACCCCTCGTCTTCCTCCTGCTGCGGTCTTGCTGGCTTAAGGCGCTTGCAAGCGGGCGCCTGTGTTGGTAACTTTTCGAATCCCTCCATAGCTTCGGGGCCCCAGACGACAGGTACCCCTCGGACTACCCGAACAACACCCCCAGGCCAGGCCACAGGCACGTACCCCAGAGGCATGATTCGGGGAACAAGCAGCGACATAAACATCATGACTCGGAGGTCCGCGCAAATGCCTCGACTCTGCGCTCGACCCCCATCCCTGGCGCGCGGAGCGCGCCAGGGTCGGCGCAGGGGGCGAGGCCAGGGGCGTGCAGCGCCGACCTGAGGAATCCGCGCGGACCTAATGTTGATGTCAGTGCTTGTTCACCTAACTATGGGCACGCGCGCCCAGTCTCTCGCCCCCCCAGCGCTCACCCCTCGGACTGCCGGAACGTCCCCGCCCCCCAGGCCACAGGCACGCACCCCACCACGGTACTATGGGCATCCTCGCCCCGATCATCTGCACCCCGCCCGGGCTCCAGGACTCCCACCCTTCCTCCTCCTCCTCCTCCTCCTCCTCCTCCTCCTCCTCCTGCTCCTCCTCCTCCTCCTCCTCCTCCTCCTCCTCCTCCTCCTCCTCCTCCTCCTCCCTCTCCTCCTCCTCCTCCTCCTCCTCCTTCTCTCCTGATCCTCCTCCTCCTCCTCTTCTCCTCCTCCTCCTCCCCTCCTCCTCCTCCTCCTCCTCCTCCTCCTCCTCCTCTCCTCCTCCTCCTCCTCCTCCGCCTCCTCATCGAGACCTGGACGACAGTTCCCCCGACCCGCCCCCCCCCCCCCCTCCCCCGACCCCCCCCTTCTCTCCCCTGCTGTACCGCCGGCACCCCTCCCCCAGACAGCAGGCACCCTCAGCGGAGGGAAAGGTACCGATGCCGCTGCTCGTCCTGGAGAGCTCTTGTCGCCACAGCGGGATCAATGGAGGGCACGACGACTGGGGCGCCATCGCTCCGAGGCACCACACCTCGGGACCCGACACTTTGCTTTACCAACCCAGACCCGCCAGCCGGGCAGGACGGGATCCCGATGCGCACTCCTCTAGACGATCGTGCAACTGTTGGTGCTCAGCACGGCGACCGCACGGCGTACGAAGAGCATATTCGCGACTGCGTCGCGGATTGCTCCGAGTACCGTGAGCACACGACGACGAGGAGGAGGAACACATCTGGGGCAAGTATCCGCGGCGACTACTGCAACGCCGCTTGAGGATCCCTGGCCTGCAGCACCTCTACGACCAGTGGAGGGAGCTACGTTCCGGATGGAAGGCCATCGGAGTGGGCATGTGTGCTAACGCAAGCTGCATCGCCTGCAAGGACGCAGGTGGTGGCAGTGGCAGCATGCGCCACTTCCGCACATGGGGGCCCGAGAACCAGGCTCGCGTGCCCTTCCAGAAGTGGGTGCGTGAGGTAATGATCCGGTCGGTGGCGAACTCTGATCTCAATGAGTTTCGCCAAGCAGTCTACGCCTCATCGCGCCTTACCCGCATGGCGCGCGAGTGCGTGGACGAATGGCCGCTTGCTGAGTGCCACTGGTGACCTTCCTCATGCACAGTTTGGGCGAACGATGGGGCCAGCTGGGCGAGGAGGGGCGCGCCTCCGCAGTATCAGCTCTGATGAGCTTCAACCGACTGCCGCAGGAGCGCATCGACAACCTCCTCACGCGGCTCGACATCCGCCGCAGTCGGGCGATGCAAGCTGGCAGCCCATGATCGGGCACGAGGGGCACAGCTTCCTCCTGTTGCGGGCCGTTGGCGTGTCGAACGCTCAGTTCACTATGCTCCTACAGCACTACAACACGGCCTACTCCACGAACGCTCAGCAGTTCACCCACATGACGGGCCAGCTGAGACGCTTTGGGCATATGATCGAGGGATCGCCAGGCAACCTCGCTCCGGCGGTCCACACCGCCTAACAGCGCACGTTCCTTGCGGGTACGCCGACGGCATGGCCTTTGTTGCGCTGGGACCGGCACCAGGCCTCCGTGCACCAGCCGAGACCATGCCCGGAGGCTCCGCCTCCGGCGAGTCGCCTCCGGCACAGGGGGCACACCCAGCAACGGAGATCGACTCAGGCACCGACGCTGACACCGCCATAGCTCATTCGGCGAGGAGATAGCGACCGACGACCCCGACATATGCGATATTCCCGTGGAACAACGTGGTGCGCACGTCTTTTTGGCGTACGAGCGTACCAAAGCACGCTGGCGCAGTTTCAGCAACCACTAGCCCACGCGCCACGTCGGGAGGGTCATATATCGAGCGGAAGAGCAAGAGCAAGGGCAAGAGCCACCGCGCCTGCATCGCAACCTTGTCCGAGAATGACCTCCAGGAGATGGGCTTCCAAACGGGCAAGCCTAGTGCAGGGAGCGTGCGGACTGCACGAAGTGACAAGGGTAAGGGAGCCAAGGCGATGGCGGGTGGGTTGTTCTGCACTGCATTCTTGCTGGCCGCGGCCATCTTGGGCCAAGGTCAGAGTGCAACAGTTTAGGTGGGGATTCGCTGGATTCGCTTCGCTCGTCGAGCTTGTGCCGCAGCCATGTCGCGCATTTTGAAGCTCATGCCCGAGGGCGAAGCGAAGGCAGCCCTCACCGACCTCGACGAGGTGCTGGAGTGGGTCAAGCCCTCGCCCGGCACCTGGAAGCAGATGGCTACGAAGGTGGGGCGAGGACATGAACGACTTCTTCATCATCGCAGCGATCGCACCTGGCGATTGGAAGGAGGCGCTGGCTGACCTCAATGCGGCCCAGCGGGCCAGGGCGAATCTTGTCATCAATTTCGCCAGGCA